TCAGGTCCACGTGGAGGAGTTCTGGTGCCCCCGTTGAACGGATGGGACGCCCAGGAGGTGGTGTTTGACAAGGAGCTGATGCTCATGAAGCTCTCAGCTGCAAGCGCTCGGAAATAGTGTTGCAGCTAGTGCCTGATATGCACAGCCGTGACCAGAGCCCAGGTTGCAGATTGGCCAAACAAACACTAATTCATATTTCTGATTATTCCTGTCCTCCTGGTAGGCCATGGGCATTGAGTCGAAAATGTGAAGTCCTACACAACAGCTTGGAGTTTCATGCTTGGCTCAGGAAGGCCTCGAAGTAGGTGACAGCAGAGAAGTCAGACATCCGACCCTTTCGAGGAATGTCAGAAGTGGAGATACCTTGTTTTGGCCATGGTTCTTGCATTGAGGAGTCTAGTTTTTCGAGGAGGCTAAGCGATCCTCTTTTGGAAAACAAAGCCATCTGGGGAAGCTAGCACCTCAGTTGAAGTGACTGGAGAAGCCCGCAGCATCCTGGTGGCCACGCGACGTAGTCATGCAGGACCTTCTTACACTGCATGATGTTACTAGCAGTGTCATTCTGACAAGCTTTAGTGGTCAAAGGGTGACGAGAGAACAAGGTGGCGTTCTGGAAGCCTTATGCTGTGGGGGATATAGAAGGATCAATGAGACTCCTACCTCCTACCTGAGTCCTCACATCTAGAAGATTCTCTTCTCCCTTCGCCACTATGCGGATGACCTTGGCAGGATGATGCCGAGAGGCAGCGCCAACAGGCTCCTTCCTCAGAGATTACCTCTCAGAGATCCAGGATGCTTGTAATTCTAAGCCAAGCAGCAGAGCTGGAGTAAGCAGACAGGTGACTGACAAGAAGGTGACCACTACTCCGCCACTTTTTGGAATAAAGCTCCATGTGCTGGTCCGAGGCCGAGTCCCTTCGGAAGTTCATGCAGATGCAGCAGGCTCGCTAACTCGCAATTATTTATGACCAAGAACCAAGCCCCTTTTTCTACCGTTTCTTAGTCCAACTACAGTATATTGGGGTCTATATTGGGGTCCCCCAAAACAAGGGGACCCTATTATAGACACCAAAATACGATAGTCAACTCACAATCCCCGATTAGCCCAAGCTGCTTGCTGGCAAGGCTGCAGGCCTCGCCGTGCCAGGAATGGAGATGTTGGTCGGGGGCCCTGGGAAGTCCCGTGCAGGGTTGCGCCCGCAAATCTTTATATTTCCTTGGTTTTGCGGAGGCAAGAGTTATAGAATGGTTTCTCCACGCGTGCCAGGTTGTGTGCCTTTTGCATCGGGAGGTGGCGCTTGTTCGGTGTGTGTATGTGCGTTCGGCTCCTTCCAGCGGGTGTCCTGGAATTCATTGCATGCTGAACAGATGGCTGCAGCGACGCTGCGCGTGCCTGGCACTGATTTGGAAGTTCTTTCTTTGTGTATGGATCCATCATCCCCATGTCGCCGTGGAAGCTGCATGTGTGTAGAGCACAGCCCTGGCTAAGTTGCATGGCAACCCCGAAGAGCGTGACTGTGGCTCTCAAAGCGCTCGCTCGCCAGACGACGCCGGCCTGCACTACAGACAAGGTGTAGGGTTCTTGGCACAGGTTGCCGGTGAAAGAATTGGGACTTCATGTTTTGGAGTTTACTTGCATCGGACATTCAAGATTCTTGTAGCAAGATTACCTAGGTTTGTTTGCTCATGATTCGTTCTGTTGAAGCTTATCCGCAGGAAGCTTAGTAAAGCTTTCGATTTCCTGGTGACCATCCAGCAACGCAAGAGCTGGCCCACACAAATTGTCAAGCTTTGACCAAACGGGAGCTGTTGATGCAGAGGATGTGACGAAAAAGTGGTCCTTCCCCCAATTGCCCTTTGCCTCCCACGCACACTTTGCTTGATGTCCAGTAGGTAGAACCCGCAGATTGACATCCAGCCTGGGCTCAAAAGGAGGTAGCGCTTTTTTAATTCTTTGCCCTGAGGCAAGCAGCCGAGACCGCAGAGCTTCTGCAGACCTTGCCCCTCAGCGAAGCCATCCGGGTTCAGGAATCTGATGTCAGAGTTCTACCCTAAAGCCCTAACACCTTACTACACCCCAAGCACCCGAAATCATGGAGCTCATTCCCGCACATCCTTACAGCCTGAAACATTGGCCCTTGAAGCACTTCAACCTTGCAGAGCCCAGGCTACGAGGACGGCTGAGCGCCAATGCTTTTCACTACGCTACTGTCTTGGGCGCCTATGCCAGGATCCTGCAGGGTGCTGGCTTTAAGGTTTGCTTTGGGCAAAGTATTCATAGGAATCACAGGGGGCCTTAAAGGTGTGAGGATCTATGCCTTTGATGTAGGATTTGAGGTGAAGGCCATTGCAAGCAGGGAAGTACCATAGACACGAAACCTCTTTGCATCCCTATGTGAGCAAAAAACTCTCACTCTGATAGCTTTAGCGAATGCCCTTTCAAAGTTTGTTTGTTGGGAAGAATATGCAAAGCAAAACTGAAGAAGATGAATTGCAGGCCCTACTGTACAACCTCGATGGCTGCTTTGGAGGAAACCGTGCGTGACAGATTTAGGAATACTTGAAGCACTTTAGACCAACAGGCCAATATTTGTCTACGGCACTAAACGCACAGCCATCGTCATGACCGGCAGGATTGTATGGTGGGAGAAGGCCACAGCAACTTGGTTGAAGCTTTCAGGCCCTCAGTGCCCTTTCGCCTGCACAAATTGTCAAACAAGTCCGGTGTGCTTACAGGGACATTCTTGAGCTGCATTGGCAGTTGTAAGTCTAATAGCCACAGAGCTAGCCAGAGCAAATTGAGTAGTCGCTTGCCCCTTCGTTACTGTCAGGGCAGTAGGGTAAGTTGCTCCTCGCGCCGCGAACTTAGGAGCTCCTGGGCAGTATGGCCAGTGCCTGCCTTGTCGATCGAGCCCGCAGCTCAGTGATGTGAAGGATTTAGGGTTTTATGCCAAGAGGGCATAGCGTGTGATAGCTTTGCATACCGCCCTGGTTGAGTTGTTTCTGCAGACATCCAGGTCTACGATTTGGGCAGACCAGTGTGGGACAAGGGTTTAGTGCGGTGCAGGCCTCTCTTTGCTTGGGGGCTCAGAATCCAATTTGCAGATTCCACTGTAGTGGAGAGTTATGGGATGCATGCAGGGCATATTCTGGGGCCATTCAGGGAACCACCTCATGGGTACAACCCTGTCACACTGAAGCCTTGAATGCTTGATTGCCCTTTTGGGTTGGTTGGTAAGTTTCAAAGTTCAAGACCCAGTCACTCTCATATCACACCTGTGTAATCCTCAAAAACTCCGTACCTGGTCCATAAGTGGTTGCCATTCCTGCTCATTGTTGTTCTTTTTGAGGTATGCCTGAATGCCGCAATTGCTGCCTGCAGCCGTGCGGTCGCCTGGGGTCCCGTCCGCGGCTGAGATGTGTGCGGTGGTCAAACCAGAAGCAATGGGGTTGTGTGAGGGTCACTCCATACAATGCTGTCTTTTCAGGAACTTTCTCTTTGTTCTAGCCGTGTCTTACGGGTTCTGGGTCTCTGGATTGGCGGCTGGAACCATTGGTTTGGGACTTGAAATGTAAGTCTAGGTTTGTAGGCTGTTGCTGCCGGACATTCGAGTCTCAGACTACGGCGTGGCATCTGAAATGCCAGGCTGGATGTCTAATGAGCTAACCCTCTGTCTGATCTCAAGAATCTAAGAAATTCATTTTAGATCCTCATAAGCCAGCATAGGTTTTGCAACCACTTGCAACCCATAGCCCAGGATTTTTTCAGCATCCCCAAGTTATGAAGAGTCAAAAGGGCTGTGGCCGTGTTGGTTGCAAGATTTGGAGAATCCTCTCTCAAATCATTTTTTGGTGCTGTGATTGGTGCGAGGCCCTTCGGATGCTGCAGCGGCAGTTGGAAAAAGAGGCATCCAGCCCTGCGGCTGCAAGGAAAGATGCCGAAGCGTCTTAGTGAAGACCCGGTCTACAGCCCAAAAGCACGAAGCCCCGCCGTGTAGCCCACGTTCAAAGGAACTGTAGTCTGTATACAGAGTGTATTTTTGGGGGGTCTATTTGAGGGTTCGGAGGGTGAATTCGTTCAAGCAGGGCCCGGATCCCAAACCGCAGTTCTAAGGCTACAACACGACTGTGATGGCTCTGGGCAAGCTTTCGCGCTGGGCAGAAGCCTTCGAGCTCTTCCGGGCAATGCCGTTTCGAAGGCAATTCATGCAGTGTTCTCCAAGGGGCCCGATGAATGAGGGGCGCGTCTTATGTGAAAGATGCGTTGTGGCATATGTAAGGGCACCCTATTTTGGAGAATTCGCATATGCCGACGCCGGGGTCCCTTTGCCACAGTCACTGAGAAGCACTGACAAGAATTGATAGCAGCATCATGGTCATCATGGTTAAACAAAGTACCAGTTCTATTAGCGGGAATGATGGGGAAAGCAGCTCTGAACCATCGATGACAAGAAACAACTGTCGGCTGTCTGGGCAGGCTCCAGGCCTCTGTCATCTCCTACAACACTGCCATGCGCACCTGCTTCCAAGGAGCTTCTGCTCGCAAGCAAAAGTTTTAGCCTAAGGTGGCATGGCGGAAAACTAGGAATATGTGCAATATCTTGAAAAGGCTTTATTGGTTTTTTTTGCAAGATCTCTGCTCTAGACGGTGGTCCTGGAAGGGTGTAAGGCGCCATGTTCCTCTAAACAAGGATTTGGCGCGTCGACGCAATTGGCTTTGCAAGGATGTGTGCATGATTTCGTTACCCTGTGCGCTGGATTTCAGATATTACGGTTCGGAGGAACAAGCAGGTTGATGTTGTGTAAGGTATGTGCTAAGTCTGCTAAGTGCTGCTTCATTGAAGCTACCCCCTGCCAGGCTCTGTATGCCGACCGTCCCTGTGCTTGCGTTTTGAAGATGTGCCAACAGCAAAATTATGTCTTGCCTTCAGCTGGGCCGTTCACATTTCTATTGATGCAGACGTACATCGCTGCCTGTGTCAGCCAGCCGGCTCAGACCCATGACGTGGTTGCTGGAGACAAAGAGGTCCATGATGCGGTCCTGCTTTGTGAATTTCTTCATGGCTATCCGCCTTCTTACGAAGATCCTACAAGTCTCAAACCCCGGGATATCTGAACATCCGTAGGTAAGACTGCTTTATTACTATAGTATATTGGGGTTATATAGGGATAATGGAAAAGAAAATGGAAACTACTATAATGGGTTACATAGGGTTTAAGGTTTTACAGCATGTAGATGCATTTCAAAGGGGAACCTTTGGGCCGTTTCTCCAAAAGCAGATTTCTTTTGCGCTGGCCGCCACAGAAGCTATGGCCGAGGCACAGCTCCGAGCAAGGACGATACATGAAGGTTTGTGACAATTCTTCAGGTAATAAAAAACAATAGTAATAGTAATAGTAATTAATAGTAATAGTAATAGTAATTAATAGTAATAGTAATAGTAATAGTAATTAATAGTAATAGTAATAGTAATAGTAAAAGTAATAGTAGTAAAAGGTGGACTGTTTGATGCCTTTGAAATTAGGACTGGGCATTGATCAGATCATACCACAGTGCTTACTGATATGCTTACCTGGCTTATCTCCTGGCTTATCTCCAATCCCTAAGGCCATCCCCATACACTTTCTATGGCTCTGCCTGCATGCGTACACACGCTGCCTCCCTGGCATCACCAAGATGCTTATTGCACACACAGCAGTTCTCAAACTAGCCCTGCAGACCTCTGAAAACTGACCACCCCGCACTCGCTTGGTAATCCACACGAGCAGTTGAAAACTCCAACCATATTTAGGACCGTAGAGGAGTCTAATTAATGACGGCCTTAAGTCATGGGTGCTTGTTTTGGTTGGGGATCAGCAATCCCCAGACCCACCCCCCAAGTACGTCATGGTATTATTAAACTATGTCATGCGATTAAACTACATTATATGAGACTATTTCACGCCTAAACCCTGAACCTAAGCCCTACAGTCTCAACCCCACACCCTAAACTGTAACCCTACACCTTACAGCCTACACCCTAAACCTTAAACCTCAACCCGGAACCCTACTCCCGAAACCCCACACCTTAAACCTTCTCAAACGGAGCAGCCTGGTAGATGATGTCTGTCATCCTCCACCTGTATCAAACAAACAGTGCTAGAGGCAGGCATAAACGTCTTCTGACTCAAAAACCCTCAACCCTACACCCTAAACCTTACATACTACACCTTAAATCCAGAAACCCTAAATGCTAGACCTTAAACCTAAACCTTAACCCTAAACCCTACATCCTGTAAAGTGGCATCCTGTAGGCTGAGCCGGAGGTCGAGATTGCCCATGGAGAGGCAGATATCCCGTATGGTGAATATCATCCGATTATACATATATATATATAGGAGTTGTATAGGGGTTTAGGGGACAGACAGATATATGTATATATACATATATATATATATACATATTGTACCCTAGTAATGGAGAACCACAGGGAAAATAGACTGGAAATCAAATGGGCATTGTGGTTATATTGTAGTGTTGTTTGAAAGGGTCTGCAGACGGATTAGAATAGCATCAACTGCATCCCAAATTTCTACAGCTGTATACCAGCAAGATGGTCAGTTAACATCTTATCCCAATACATCCTTACATTCCCTACATCCTTCATATCCCCAAACCCTAACCCCCGTCTTGAGCAGGCTCCGGAAGAAGCCGAAGCTGACGAAGCCGAGGACTAGGGTATGGGTTTAGGCCTAGTTAGGGGTAGTTTCTAAGTCCCATGAACCTAGGGGTTGGGTAGGCTTTTGGATTTAGGGTGTAAGGTTTTAAGGCTAGTTGGGTAGTTGAGGGTCTCCAGTCCGGGTTTGGATTCTTGGGCGTCGGGTTCTGGATTACCATCTGGCCTCTTTTGCTTGAAGCTGTCGTTGCAGCTGCGTGGAGTTGCTCGGCAGAACCTCCAGACCAAGGAAACATAACAGATTGGTCTTTGGGCTGCGTGTTTGCGGCCAAATAAGGGATTGGCCGGATTGTTGCGCATTGTTCAGGTCTGTTCAGGCGTAAGGAGGCAGCTTTGCTTGCAAAGTTTCCGGCGTCCCTGGCATCCTAGAAAAGCACTTGCAGGAAAAGAGCGTGGACTTCCACTTCCTAGTAGCTACTGTACTCAAGCTGTCCTCGTTTTCAATTCACGTCTTGCTCTGGTCAGGGCGAGGATGTAGACCCTGATGAGATGAGAGCAGCCGCTGGGTCCTGGAGGAACTTGAGGATTTCTGAGAAATGCGGAGTGCCTTATGGGCATCCTTGCAGTCGAGATTTTGAGGGCGCACAGGGCAAGCTGAGTGGTTTTAGGAGTTTAGCTCCTCAAGGCCTCAGAGTCAGGCAGCAACTGCCAGTTAGCGTTCTATCGCAGAGTACTCTAGAATTGTGCTGGGAAACAGTCGCTCATGTTGTTTCAAAAGGTTCAAATCCAAAGATTCGAGAGGATTGACCGCAAGAAGTGTCGCATCATCACGGCCTCAAACTATCCGAAGGCCAATGTCATCTGATCTGATCCGGAACCAGCCGGATACGATCCATCTCTAGGATACTTCTTGACATGTAAGGGGGGCCGGTGTATGTTTGGAATGGAAGACAGTAATTAAGCGCCGCTCTCGCTTAAACTATGTCCCCAAAATGTGTGCATGGGGACCCTTAGAAGAGGTTTCTACGGAAGTTTCCATGTTAGCCTCGGAGAAGGCGACCTACAAGCCATCTCAGAGCATTCAAGCAAGGAGAGGATTGAACAAAGGCATTGAACCCCAATATAACCTCAATATTACCCCAATATAACCCCAACATTGCCGCAATAATTAGTGCCCCAATACAACCCCAGTAGTACCCCAATATAAAACGAATATCACCCCAGTGATGGTACCTATATCCCCTAGGATGGTGAACTAAATGGTAGCTTCCATTTTCGTTTCCATTATTCCAATGTATGCCCTACATAACCCCCATATCCCCTTTAAGAGATTCCCCTGTATACGAGCTGCAGGATCCTGTTTGCAGGCGGCGCACAAACACGGACCCGCAGTTTCCCAGACCCCTAGTATATTAGAGTATGTTATGGCATATTATACTATGGTATAGTATGGTATATCATAGAATATGATGGTATATTGTGGTGTATTATGGTATATTAGAGTATATAATATGGTGCTTTATGGTACATTATAGCAAAGGAGCCTAAAAATGGAGCCCCTTAATAATCCCCTATCCTTCTTTTGGATCCTTTAGGGGGTCTGGGTTGGAGAAGCCCGAGAACTGAGGGACCATAATTCCTGACTCAGGCATTGGGCGGTGTGGCTACAGGCTTGGCCGAGCAGCTGACAACTATCACCCAGGAGGCAAGCAGTCTTAGCGCCAGCTCTCGAGCAGACAGGCTCTCAACCTTAAACTTGGACAACATCATCATCTTGATTCTGAATCTCAGGAGCTCAAGGGTTAGACCGACAGTCAAAGAAGCAATTCGGTACCTCAGCCTTTGACCCAATGAATCTCATGCGCTTGGCCCGCCAGCCCTGACCCCCCACAGCAGTACAGCGTGGTCGCGGTTTCGGGGCCTTGTGGGCATTTCTAATTTCGGTACAAACCTTGCTCAAAACAGGTCCCCAGGATCTTGTTGATTGTTTGCAGGAGTAGAGGAATAGATATCCCTATAGTAGCCCTCACCTGTTGCAGTTTCCATCTTTTTTTCATTCCCTGATTCCTTGTTATCGAACAACAAAAAAGGGAGGCACCCCTACGTCCCAGGTGAACAAGATCCGCGAGGAGCTGTACGGCGACAACGGCATCGGCGGAATCGCGCAGGATCCTTTGTTGTTTTGTGGTGCGCTGTCCACAGGCTCTGATACATGTCCTGCTGTTGTCGGTACTTTCACTTGCCCAAAATGTTGTTTATCGTGGCCACTGCGCCGGCGGGGTACGTTCATCGACCCTTATAACATTATTTTTGTGCAGTCTACATGGATTATCGGTGTCCCAAGATAAATATGTGGCTAGCCAGATTGTCGAAAAAAGCTAGCTTCCGAATTCAGGACCATCAGGAACTGCACATACTGTAGGATTGTCAGATGTGAAGTAAGGAATTGCGCCTTCTTGTTCCGTACGCTCAGAGTTTTACTCAACCAGTTCTAAAAAGAAACGGCCCCAAGTCCTGAATCCTAAGCCCATTATTTCTGCCTACATCCCCTAAAGCAAGACTTAGCACCAGCAAAGAGGAGCTTGAAAAGATGAAAGCCGGCAGCCTGGGCAGCCTCCTTGAGGATACCGACCTTACCGGGATTCCTGGGATCTCCGAAGGACGTGATGGTCTGAGACAGAGGTGGGCATTCACAGTTTGGGTCTTTACTGTAGGGTTTTGGTTTGTAAAGTGTTGGGTCGAATGTATGATAGCTCACAGACTTGGCAACGCTAAGCAGTTGTTAAGACGTGAACGCCTGAACACACTCATTTGCGTCTGATGAGTCTCCAACACTTCCCCAGTTAGGGAAGGCCGGCTAGTCGTGCTCCTTGCTTTCATGTGGCTGCGTGAGTCTGAGTGGGATCTTATCAGCTTATCCCACCCAGTCCAGCCTGTGATGTCTGGGCCTGCAGAGAGAGTTGCCCCTGCCAGGCCAGCAACAGAAGCTAGGCCAGCGAAAGGCGGAGGTCGGGGAGCCTTGAATAACTAACTTTGCAACGTTTTAAGGTTGCCTGAGCAAGGATACATGAACCCCGAAGACATCCAAGACTCTTGCTCACGTAGCCCGAATGAATATGAATGAATCATGCGGGCTTCCAACTCTGCCTGCTATCAAGGGAGAGAAAGAGGGTTGTAGGAGCCCCGAGCTAAAACTACCTTTCTGTGGTTTCTCCATGGATTCCATTGGTTGGGGTAGAGTTATATGTTTTTTCACCTCAAGCCTGGGGTAAGAGAAGGACCTGTCCCAGTGGGGGAACCCCAAAATCTGGAGACCCAGGACTTCCCAACTCCTTGGAGCGCGAGCGGAGGCTGGAGGAACTCAGGCCAGTCGTGTGTTCCAAAAGGTGTTGGCGGGGTGTCCGGTGGAGATGTTCAACATTTGCAGGCTTCGGATAGAGGGTTAGTAGAAGCGGTTAGGTGCCAATAATGTTCCCTCGTGTCCTTAGTATGCCCTTCTGGCATACAACATGTCAATTTTGTTTCCAACACCATTCTGATGATCTAAGCCCTGGCGTCACTCCCCAGGCGGCGCATTGAAGACCGGCATGCCAAAGAAAAGAAGCCCGAGGGCCTGGGCTTCATGGAGTGGCTGGTGATCCTCTTTGTCCCTCAGCAGGATGGTGTAGGGTCATAGAAGGGGGGTTATATTGGGGTAATGGAAAATAAAATGGAAACTACTATAGTATATTGGGGTTATATTGGGGCCTCATAGAGCAAGGGGGCTGGCATGCGGCTCAGAATTGCTGAAGAATGATGTCTGCCTGCTGTGGGTTCAATAAACTTCAGAAGGAATAGTGCAAGCTCGTCAGTATGTTGTGTAAGCCAGTGCTAGCCAACATCCAATGTGGGATATAGCCGGTGGTGCTGTTCGGATGAAGCTATGGACCATTGTGATGAGGGCTCAACACTTCAGGGGTTAGATGACAGAGAAGCTTGAACTTAGAAAGCTTCATAATGAGGGGCTCACAGCAGTGGCAGAGGAAGTTACTTTCTTGTCATGCAGACGAGAGTGAAGTTTCAGTCATGTGAAAGTTCATGTCCATGAAAAGCTAGTGACCTGGCTAGGGATGCCATGAGATATTCTGGAAGTTCTGGGAGTTTCAAGCTGTGCTGATGCTCAATATGTTTTTTTTTGGTGCACTTCAGGGCTCCAATCTTTAGAGTTCCATGGTTCCTGCCTGTACCCGGTTCAGCGATTCAGAAGCTTGTGGGTTTTGGACTCTGGCTTGGAAGGCGGTTACGCCAATCTCCTCCTAGCCGCGATGATCTGGCTATTGGGCTTGTTTGTCTGGTACCAGTAACTGCTGCCAGAAGAGGTCATCTTCGTCGTCGCTTACACGGCTCTGCCCTCCTTCCGCCTGAGCGTCAAGCAGACGTTTCAGGAGCTAGTCCTGGGGGAGGTGGGCCTGCGTAAAGAAGATGCTGGGGATAATGGAAAATAAAATGGAAACACTTCTATTAAGGTCCCAATGGAAAATAAAATGGAAACTACCATATTGGTTTAGGGTTTAGGGTGTTGGCGGGTTTTGGTTGAAGGTTCAAATTAGGTTTCGGCTTTGGGGAGGGCATGCCGCGATTGATTGCGACGGCCTACAAAGGGACTGCTTCCTCTCGTGGTGCCAATTTAGATGGAAATTGCCAAGCACTTGCGCTTGAAGGTACTGGGCTGCCAATAGGGGAGAAATTCCAACAACGGCATAGTCTAGAAGCTTCAACAATCACCTAAATCCTTCCCGGATGAAGCGTCTATGCCTAAACCTTATTGGGCACTACATTACGTTTGCCATCATTGGGCGGGCGTATGATCAACAGCACAAATCTGCCGAACATCTGTGGAGACCTGGGTGTTCCTGTAAGTGGGGGATCTTTAGTGACAAAGCGGTTGAAGCAGGGATAGGGGCTCTAGGGTCATAATTTCAGGAGTTCCCACAGAAACGTTCAGTTAACGATGCCTGCGCAATTTCAGAAACAGTCCTCCTAGACGACTTCAGCGGGAGCTTATGGCAGGCAGGGCTCCTATTATGGTCTATGTATCTAGGACCTTCTGTGTTTTCTCTGCAGATCTAACGGGGTGAAGTCAGGAAGTCCCTGTGCAGCCATCCCCATTGCATCCTTGCGTTTTCCGATTTGCTTTGCTCCATAGGTTAGAAGCGCTACACCACTACTTCAATCCAACGCTCGTTCCTAAATTCTGAACCCTCAGCCAGCCTTGGAGACAGAGCAGCAGAAGCTATGAACCCCCTGTCGTTCAACCGAACCCTGTATGCTTCAATGATTCTCAGTTCTCAGAGTCATCCCAAAGTAGCAGTGGGAACGCCTAGGGTCTGGGTTCACCGCATGTCGGAGTTTGGGCATGATGGCATAGGGATTGAGATCCTTCAGCCCTTAAACCTAGTGGGTAGTGGTGTTTGGAAATGATGAACATGGCGTTTTGGCCTGTCTCTACGGGGATGTCTGCATTTGGTGCGCAAGCGCTGCATTTCTGACCTTGCTCCTCTGAGCACAACCTAAGCATCCTCGCAGCTGACGCATACGGTTGTTTAGGATCAAGGGTGTATGCTTGAGCACTTTACTCCGCCTTGAAAGCCCAGGTGCCTGAGCCAATTGAGGAGGAGATCCCGGACTTGGGCGCTGTGGTGGCTGGACCTGAAGTCTACTAGGAGACGGGGGTTTAGACTTGGACATTTGTGGAACTTCGAGTTTCAGTGTGTAAGTGTTGTTGTTGTTGGGGGGGAGCTGTGGTGTTTGAGGACTCAGGTTTTTGGGTTTGAGGGGCTCGGAGGCTCGAGGACATCCCTCATTGTTTTGATGGAAGTTTTACTCCCAGCAGTTCAACATATCTTGGCTCCAAGATAGATCCCTACATCCGCCACTGTTGCAGGATGCTAACATGTGCTAAAGCTCCGATCCCTAAACCATGAGCCTTGGATGCTGCGTCCACCGGTCGCAGTTCCTCATGTCTAGATGTAGTCAAATCATGCCTGTGATAGAAGCCCTCTGTCCGTATGCAGGTATGGTATGTAGGTAGGTATGTATGTAGGTATGTATGTATGTATGTACGTACTCGGTATATGTATATATGGGACTGATACAGGGTAAGGGGGTACTAACATTAACCCTGAATCCCCAAGTTCTTGTCAGGTCCAGGAAGATACCGACTCCTTCTTCTGAGCCACCCGTGCTCGAGTCTGGGGAATTCCAGTAATGTGTGGCCACCTTTAACGGGCACTCAGGAATGATGTGAGTAGCAGACTAAATCTATGTAAAAGGACAGTAGTAAGCGAACGGTCATGACGTTATCACAATATAGCGAAAACCTGAAAACCGATTGGGGCCAACCTTGTTTTTCGGATTGTCCTTCTGGATATGAGCCCCCAAGATGGTTATAACTTCTTATTGTTTCCTCTGTCTTTTTAAAAGGAAGAGACGAAATCAGAAGAAATCATAATAACAATATTCCCAAAAAAGAAACCAATGTGCCTCACAGCAGAAGATGCAGGTTGTCATACAACATCATCAGAGACTGTAAAAGATTAGGGGAAAGCAGCTCCATTATTGCAGTGGCGCCTTGAAATATCCTTACGTGAAGCCCTTCAGGTATGATGAACCTGAAATTTTCTCAAATGTAGCTGAGCCCCACCGATAGCCCTACCGATACCCGACCAATACCCTAAAATGATGGTTTCACGGTCCAAGAAGCCAGATGCCCAGATGTGTTTTCTGAGTACTTCATATTGGCAACTGCTTTCGTATCCTAACCTGCCTACTCTGACCCGCGGACTCTCATTTCAAGGCGTTTTTGGGCCGCCTTAACTTGAGTATTGGGAGGCCCGCTAAGTAAAGAGGTTTTTGGAAGTATGGAAAGAGGCACTGCTAGTTCAATAATCGCGGAGTGTAATGAAGGTTCAAAACGCTGAAAACCGATAGGGGCCAACCCTAAATCTGATGACTTCTACGCCACATAAGAGATTTAGTCCGGCACTCATGTAGCCATTAGGATCTATCAAGGGATCGATGGTGCTTCGGTTCTAGGAAACACTAGGAGGGTCATGGGGACTTAGTAAGTAGGTGAATAATAGGGATAATTGGGGTTATTACATGGCTTATAGGGATTACTAACGTACTTACTAAGTCCCCCTGACCCTCCAAGTAGGTTCTAGGAAAGAGGTCAATGTTACCGGAAATCTACCCTGTGCATGATCTGCCACGTCGTGACATCGGGGCAGAGGCTCGAAGCGAAGGTGTCCTTTCCTTAGCATTGGCTAATGAAGGATAGCAGCAATAATAATAGTAATAATAATTATAATACTGTTGATACTAAAAATCCTGCATGACCTTAGTATACCATAGTACCATTATTCCCAGGGTTTAGGGTACTTAGGGTCATGCAGGATTTTTAGTATCCACCGTAGTAAAAATAATAGTAATAATAGTAGTAATAGCATTAATAATAGTAGTAATAATAGTAATAATAAGAATAGTAACAATAATAGTATTAATGGAGTCGTTCTGAATTTCCCTACGGCTTTGAAGGGCTCCTTTCCCTAGAGCCCTTGCTTCCGTTTCACACAAGTATGTGCAACAAGCTCCTTGCGAGAAAAAGGGCTGACTGCTACAAGCTTGCCTGTGTGTTCTAGGTCTTGGGTCAGGAGGCAGAGATGACCTTGAACTCATTTGGGTACTTCCCAAAATTAGGGGTGCCATTTTTCGTGGTCCCTATAATGAGGATTGTAATGTTTTGGGGGGGTTCCCTATTTTGGGAAACTACCATTTTTCTCTACAAGAAAGTCGGAGCTCTAGCCTGATTTCTCCCCTCAAGAGGAACCGTTCCCTGCAAGCGCATGGCAATGAATTTTTAGCGGAGCTGAGCAGGAGCGTGCCCTTCATGCTACACAGCAACCCCTCAAGATTCAGGTCTAGAAGTCTGGGCTCAAGCGCATTTTCGGGTATGAAAAGCGACATCCTCCGGACCATACTCCCGTTTTGAGGATCCCACCCTAAACCCTAAACCCCAAACCCATTGCTAGCAGCTCTGCAGGACAAAGCTGGCAGCTGACTCTGCAACTTTTTGCAGAGCTTCAGTCGAAGGGATGGCAAAATCAAACCAGCGCCTAGCTCGCAGGATATAGTCCCCCTTAAGTAGATAGAGTTATATTGGGGTTATTTAGGGATAATGGAAAGAAAATGGAACCTACTATTTAGGGTTTAGGGTTTGGGGTATCGTCCTCCTTAAGTGGATAGAATATAGGGTTTAGGATTGAGCGTTTAGGATTTAGCGTTTAGGATTGAGGATTTAGGGTTTAGGGTTTAGGGCATAGTCGCCCTCAAGTAGATAGAATATGGAGCATACGGGATCTTGTTACAATATACCCAACGCCATATTCTATCTACTTAAGGGGGACTAGATGTTTAGCTTCAGGGCATTTAGGCATGTTAGGGAGTAAGGGGTATTGATTTAGGGGTTAGGGATGTTAGGGATTTAGGTGTTTTAGGGGTTTCGGGCGTTGTAGGGGGCTTAGGTGCCTAGTGTTTTGCAGACGTCTGGTTCGGGGGTATGGCGATTCGTAGCAGCATGTAACAAAGAGGGTTTGGGGAATAGTGTGTATGTTTTCACAGTGTGGTGTCACTTTCTTGCGGAGCTTATTTGAGGGGCCCTCCTTGACATGAAGTTTAGAGCCATCGCCGCGTAGAATTTCAAGTGAAGGGTCAAGTACATGTAGAAGAGATGCCTTCTGAAAGTTTGACAGGTGTTGCTGATTTGAAGTAAGCAGCAATGTAAGGGTTCTAGGGCTCTAAGGCTTCAGGAGTCAAGTTCGTCAGATTAAAGGATTACCTTGGTATGTGAGCGGCTTACAGCCATCTAGGGCGACCAAACTACTGAAACTCACTGGAATTTAGGCTATTTAGCGGTGTACTCCTTCTGCCCTCTTCTGTCCATGCTGTATGGCGAGCCATTCGTCATCCAGTTTCTGCTTTCTGCAAGTTGTGTGGAAGTTCATGGCGAACAGTTGCAGGGTATGGTCTTGGAGTATAATCGAGTGAGTACTCCACAAATCTCTCTTGAGAAAGTTCGAAATGAGTGGGTCGACCACGTTGCCAGTCTATAGACATAGTAGTTGAGTGTAGTTGAGTGCTGCGCTGCATGAGTCAGCGCGGCATGGTGGCGCTGACAGGGAACTGAGTCGCCGCGAGAGAGAGGGGTGCTGCAGAATTTCTTTGATCAAGAGTACCGCAGTGTTTCTGGGAGATATGCAAATGTTTGGACGCTTTCGTTTGGCCGTTGGCTGCTGATGCAAGCTAATGCCGCTTTATTCTTCCTACTAGATTTAAAGAGCACCAGAAATCATGCAGCATTCCTTCGTACCCCTAGACCCTCAGAGCAGCGGAAATACACCAAACCAGGACCTCGCTGAACACTTCAGCGAATCGGCGAACCACAAGGATCAAATGGGTTGCCTGATTGCCTGTCCTGTACTGGATGCGAGCTGAGCTTTCGGAAGCCCCCCAGATGACACGGCTAAGCGACAACTTACAAACTTCCACCCCGGCCCTCGAACGCCTGGACTATGAGATCGCTTCTAGACTGCCCCTGTATCTAGGATGCTCAAGACGGACCGAGAAACGACAACCTCCACTTGGGAGACACGTGGGGGGCATATGAGCTGAAGTCTAAACTCTTTAACGGGGGTTTATGTAGGGGAGTATCTAGGGGAGTATAATAGGGCTTATTAAGGGGGATAGCAGGGGTTCAGACCATGGCTCATATGTCCAGTAGCAAGACAGCACCCTCCAGGCTACCACTTGTCCATCACTGCCTGCAGTCTGGCCAGCCATTGGCAGGGTGCAGTGCCTGGGTCAATCAAGGATTTTCATGTGTACCCTAAACCCTACACCCTAGGGTCTCACAGGTTGGTGGGATGAAGGAAGTAAGACCTAAACCCAGAACCCCAAACCCAGACCAGCCCTGCAGGTGACAAAAAAGCTGAGGAAGCCATGGAAAAACAAGCCCTCTTACATCCCCTTGTATAATATCCCCCCCATATATCTTCCCCTATATAATATCCCCATATACATTATCCTCTATATAAGACTCCCCATACATGTTTCCCTATACAAGCCCCCAGGTTTGCATTTTGGACTCTATGCTCGCCAGCTGCTTCGAAGGAACGGTTGTGGGCTTTGCCGCGACCATGCGCCCTGCTGCACATCAGGAAATGTCAAGCTTGTGCGTTCCATGCCTTATATGAGCTCCGAGTGAAGTCTCAACCCCAACCCAGACCCCCGAAAGGATCCACAAAATTGAGCCCTTGATTATCCCCTAGGTTCCCCAATGTAGTAATGGATCCCAAGGGGTTCCATTTTTGGATCCTGTAGGGGGTTTGGGAAACCCCAAAACTTCAGACCACTGGGCCCAAAGCCCCTTCAAACTCAAAGTGCATAAAATCGCCCTCAGACGAACCGCCCAGGGCTGCGTCCGATCGAGCGTTTCAGTGGCAGAGAGCTTTGCGTCTCCTCAGCCTCCTGGCTTGAAATGCAAGGGACAGTGGTTGGCAGATGTTTACACAACTCCCATGACATAACCCCTTTATACCAGTATGTAATCCGGCTAGAAGCCCCCTAGCCCCACCTGGAGGGATAACCATGAGAAGCCGTATGACCA